TAAATGACCAAAAGCGGGTGAAAGAAATTCCGATAACCAAATTCACAATTCGTCTAAAACCTGCACGTTTCCCAGATAATTTGGGACCAAAATGGCCTTTCAATGGAAATACACCATGTTGTGACGTTGTAGAGAGCCCCCTTAAGTCAGTTTTAAAGAAACCATTTATAATATTTTTTCATTTTCATATGTACTGATACATACTGATAAGAGCTTTTCAACTGCATCAACAGTTTTTGACCTTTGCATTTCCTTTGACCTTGACCTCACTTTAATGAAATAAGTGTCAAACTTTATTTGCTGATTCATACTGATATAAGCAATTCAACTGCATCACTATTCAAGATATTCTGATCAAATTTCATACGTTTATACAAATTTTCATTTTGCATCACTAATATACCCTCTGCAGGGCATTGTCCTATGGACATATTTCTAGTTTTGTTCCCCTACTCTGTCTGTGGGTATTAAGTAACCAAACTAAACATGCTAAGTGTATAGTTATGATTAGCAGTGGTGCTTCTTTCAAAATTGTTAATGCCATGAATTCTAGTTTAAAACATGAACCAAATTTAATCATTGGAAAGTTGTTGCATGATGCTCACGTGACCTATAAGGCCCATGGGCCTGTTCTTATGGAGGCATCCTCGGGTATAGTGTAGATGTATATTTGGTAAAATCGTGACTCCAAGGTGGGGGGGGGATAGGATGGGACCACAATAAAAGTTCAAACTTATAGGGAAAAAAGCAGTTATAGTATAAAACAAGATGTGTTTGTGAAACACTATGCACCCTGCGGTAACAAAGTTAAAAAAAACTATTTTTTGCAGATAAGTCACAGTCAAGGTCACAAGGTCATCGACCTTGGTGTCATTTGAAAGAACTTTATTAGTGAAGTATGCATACCAAATATGAAGTATCTACCTTTCATGTTTCAAAAGTTATGGTGAAAAGTCTATAAAGCTATTTTTAGCATATAGGTCACAGTCAAGGTCACAAGGTCATGACCTTGATGTCATTTGAAAGAGCTTTATTAGTGGAGTGTGCATATCAATAATGAAGTCTCTACCTCTCATGGTTCAAAAGTTATGGCGAAAGATCGAAAAAGCTATTTTTAGCATATAGGTCACAGTCAAGGTCAAAAGTCATTGATCTTGGTTCCATTTGAAAGAGCTTCATTGGTCGAGTATGCATACCAAATACGAAGTCTCTATCTCTCATGGTTCAAAAGTTATGGCAAAGGTTAAAGTTGACAACAGACAAACAGATAAACAGACAAATAGACAGGACAAAAACAATATACGCCTCGATTCTATCGATCCAGGCGCATAAAAATATGTTATTATCCTTAGTCAGTGCAGATTCAAGTTTAGCTAGATTTATTTTTTGTTAAAACCATACCCCCTTTTAGGGTCAGGACAAGCTATGCATTTACATTATTGATTTTTGCTTGTTCCTAGCCTTAGTACTCAGGTGAGCGATGGGCCTCTTGTATTAAAATGGAAGTGTCCTCAGGTAGTGTAGATTCAAGATTGTTCGAATCATGACTCCTGGGTGTAGGGTTGGGTCACAATAAAAGTTCAAACTTGTAAGGGGAAAAAAGTCTTAGTTTAAAAAATATGTAAGCTCCCTTTAGCAAAGCCTTGTGACTTCTGATAGTCTTTTTAGCTCACCTCAACGAAGTTGGGGGGAGCTTATGTGATACCCTCGGCGTCGGTGTCGGCGTCGGCGTCCCGGGTTAAGGTTAAGTTTTTTGGAGCAGTTTTCTTTTTAAGTACTTCTATGCCTTATATTGATTAGACATGCATGGAAGATGTTTCTAATGTGTTTCATTGTACCAGTCAAAGTTTCAGATGCTGCAATTTCAGCAAAGGAATGACCAGGTTAATGTTTTTGGTGCAGGTTAACATTTTTGGTGCAGTTTTTGGTGTAGATCTCATTTCCGAGTAACTATAAGCCCTATGTTGACAAAACTTACATGGATGGTACATCTTAGGATGCATACTACCAGACTTGCTTCGGATGCTGAATCTGACCTACATTTTCCAGTTGAGTGAACAGGTTAAAGTTTTTGGTGCAGGTTTCATTTCGAAGATACTATGAGCCCTATAATGACCAAACTTGCATGGATAGTACATCTTAGGATGCATTCTACTAGACTTGCTTCGGATGCTGAATCTGACCTACATTTTCCGGTTAAGTGAACAGGTTAAAGTTTTTGGTGCAGGTTTCATTCCCAAGTTTCTATGAGACATATAATGACCAAACTTGCATGGATTGTACATCTTAGGATGCATACCACCAGTCTTGCTTCGGATGCTGAATCTGACCTACATTTTCCGGTTGAGTGAACAGGTTAAAGTTTTTGGTGCAGGTTTCATTTCCACGTTACTATGAGACATATAATGACCAAACTTGCATGGATGGTACATCTTAGGATGCATATTACAAGACTTGCTTCGGATGCTGAATCTGACCTACATTTTCCGGTTGAGTGAACAGGTTAAAATTTTTGATGCAGGTTTCATTTCCAAGGTACTATGAACCCTATAATGACTAAACTTGCCTGGATGGTACATCTTAGGATGCATACTACCAGACTTGCTTTGGATGCTAAATCTGACCTACATTTTCTGAACGAGTAAACAAGTTAAAGTTTATGGTGCAGGATTCATTTCCAAGTAACTTTGAGCCCTATAATGACCAAACTTGCATGGATGGTACATCTAAGGGTGCATTCTACTAGGCTGGCTTCAGAAGCTGAATCTGACCTACATTTTCCGGATTAGTGAAAAGGTTAGTTTTTAGGTCACCTGAGTAACTCAGGTGACCTATTGCTATCCGTTTTCGTCCGTCGTCGTGTGTCGTGTGTCGTGCGTCGTGCGTCGTGCGTCGTGTGTTAACATTTGAACATTTTCAGCTTCTTCTCTGAAACCACTGAACCAATTTCAACCAAATTTGGTATACAGCATCTATGGGTGAAGGGGAACAAAAATCGTGAATTTTATGGTCCCCGCCCCCCTGGGGCCTGAGGGGTGGGGCCAAAACCACTAAAATTATTGCAATCTTTAAAAATCTTCTTCTTTACTCCTGGACATCAAGCAGGCAAACTGTTGGCATGAATGTAATGAGCATTGAGTCCTCTACCAAAATTGTGAAATTCACGGCCCCAGGGTCAGGGGTTCTAGTGCTAGGGCGGGGCTATATAGATTATATAGTGAAAATGCATGATTTCTTTGAAAATCTTCTTCTCTGCTCCTGGGTATTAAGTAAACTAACTAAGTACATAGTTATGATGAGCAAGAGTGCCTCTTCCAAAATTGTGAATTTTGTGGCCCCAGGGTCAGGGGTTCTGGTGTTAGGGCTGGGCACTATTGGATATATAGTGAAAATGCATTTATTCTTTGAAAATCTTCTCCTCTGATTCTGGGTATTAAATAAACTAACTAAGTACATAGTTATGATGAGCAAGAGTGCCTCTTCCAAAATTGTGAATTTTGTGGCCCCAGGGTCAGGGGTTCTGGTGTTAGGGCGGGGCACTATTGGTTATATAGTAAAAATGCATTAATTCTTTGAAAATCTTCTCCTCTGATTCTGGGTATTAAATAAACTAACTAAGTACATAGTTATGATGAGCAAGAGTGCCTCTTCCAAAATTGTGAATTTTGTGGCCCCAGGGTTATGGGTTCTGGTGTTAGGGCGGGGCACTATTGGTTATATAGTAAAAATGCATTAATTCTTTGAAAATCTTCTCCTCTGATTCTGGGTATTAAATAAACTAACTAAGTACATAGTTATGATGAGCAAGAGTGCCTCTTCCAAAATTGTGAATTTTGTGGCCCCAGGGTCAGGGGTTCTGGTGTTAGGGCGGGGCTCTTTTGATCATATAGTGAAAATGCATTAATTCTTTGAAAATCTTCTTCTTTGCTCCTGGGTTTTATGCCAGTGATCTAAGAATATATATTTATGATGAAGAAAGGTGCATCTAGCAAAATGGTTATTTTTTTATGCTCCCCCTTCCTGGGTTGGGGGGTGGGGTGGTGGTACATAGTCTGAAAATAAAATTAATGCTTTGAAATCTGCTCTTAGGTATTAATCAACCATTTTATGATAAAATTTGCAAAATTTTGAAATATGTGGCCCCAAGGTCCGGAGTTCCTTTGGGATGATGTGCACAACTAGTTATAAAGCAGAAGTGCATTTTCTCTATGTTACTCTGATCTACCTTTTGGTATTAAGTAAATAGAGTAAGCATGCTAAGTCTATAATTATGATAAGCAATGGTGCCTCTTTCAATATTGTGAATTGCGAATTTCATGGCCTCTGGTTTAAAACAGGAACCAAATTTAATAATTTGAAAGTTGTTGCACAATACTCAGGTGACCTATAAGGCCCGTGGGCCTCTTGTTTTATACAGGTTTCATTTCCAAGTAACTTTGAGCTCTATGTTGAACAAACTTGCATGGATGATACATCTTAGGATGCACACTAATGGACTTGCTTCAGATGCTGAATTCGACATACATTTTCCAGATAATAGACCTCGTAAAAGTTATGGGTGCAGGTCTATCACCAAGAAACTATAAGGCTTATATAAACTAAAGTTGCACAAATGATGCATCAAGGGATGAAAACTCTCAATCTTGCTTCAGATGCTGGATTTTAATTACATTTTCATGATGAAGAACTAGTTTTAAGTTTTTATATAGGTCTATTCCAAAGTATCAAAATTGCATAAATTTTGCATTTTTGGATGTACACTTTTTGTTGGTTAATTGTGTGACTTAATTTGCCTTACTTAAAGACAACATTCGTTGAGGTGAGCTCTGTAATCTCTGATTACCTATGTTTTAAGATTAATTAGAGCAGTAACCACAGTAACCACAATTCCTAAAAATTTTGTCTCACTAATAAAGAATTTAATATGACATTTTCACAAAAATAAGGTTTTGCAAAAATTGAGTAATCTACAGTAATATATTTTGGTATTGTTATTGCAGTCCTGTACCTAAAATTTTGTGGCACAAGGAAGGAAGGCCATCAACAACGCTTTCTGAAGGACATGAATTTGTAATCAACTCTGTGCAGTTTAATGACAAAGGCATTTACATATGTGCTGGAAGAAATCCTGTTACAGATAAACCACAAAATGTAACATTTACTCTGAATGTACAAGGTAAACTATTGAAAAATGTTTTATCTATATTCCTTAGGAAAACTATGGTATTTTGTCATTTGTAGAACCATCAGAAAAGAGAAAACAAAGGTGTCAAGACTTTAGACTTATTCATTAAGCTTAATCCTCTCCCAAGATTTCATGGCAGAACAGAGATAAGTTTAATATTTCACCTATTTAACTGAATTCAATCATCATTTAATTATTTATATATACCTCTGCTCCGAAAGAGAGGTATGTATAGTAGTTGTTTTACCATTTGAACATTTTCAGCTTCGTATTTTTGGCTTTAGCATCTATGGATGTAGGGGGGCAAAACATTTTATGATCCCTGCTCCCCTTGGGCCCGAGGAGTGGAGCCAAAACCACTAGAATTAATGAAATCTTTAAAAATCTTCTTTATTCCTGGACGTTAAGCATGATTGTAATAAGCATTGAGTCCTCTACCAAAAGTGTGAAATTCATTTTGTAGAATATTTTTAGTAGAATTGTAAATAAATGTTGGCACTCTCAGTTATCTTGACTTTGGATTATAAATAAATTGATTGCATGTATATAGTGAAATTGCACAAATTCATTGAAAATCTTCTCTGCTTGTGGGTGTTAAAGAAACTAACTACATACATATTTATGATGAGGAAAGGTGCCTCTTTATATAAAATTGTGAATTTCTTTGCCCCTGGGTCAGGGGTTCTGGTGTAAGGGTGGCGCTTTATTGATTATATAGTAAAAGTGTATTAATTCTTTGAAAATCTTCTTTCCTGCTTTTGGGTATTAAATTAATGAACTACATGCATAATTATTATGAGGAAGGGTGCCTCTTCTTAAATTATGAATTTCATGGCCCCAGCGTTAGGGGTTCTGGTGTAAGGGTGGAGCTATACAAATTACACAGGTAACTCTTGATGGCTCGAACTTCGATCTCTCAAAGTGAGTCTCCATTCCTGAATCTTTCCCCTATATAACTAAGCAAATTTACTCTATTTCTCGAACTCTTGTTCTCTTTTAATAAAATTAATTTTTATTTTGAATCAGTGTCAAAGTTTAACGAAATATGAAAATTCAGAAGCAACCTCACTGTCAATATGACGACTATTGTTCAACAAATACTTGCAGAATCTCGTTCAATGCACATATTTGGAAAAGTCACAATGCTATGTACCACGCAACACTGGTAAAATGTCGTTTTCATATAATGGATGCGTAGTATGAAGTCCGTATGATAAAGAATAAATAAATAAACATGAACTGACGATGTACATTTTTAGGTCACCTGAGTAACTCAGGTGACCTATTGCTATCCGTTTTCGTCCCTTGTTGTTCATCGTGCGTCTTGTGTTAACATTTGAACATTTTCAGCTTCTTCTCTGAAACAGATACAGCATCTATGGGTGAAGGGGAACAAAAATTGTGAATTTTATGGTCCCCGCCCCCCTGGGGCTTGAGGGGTGGAGCCAAAACCACTAAAATTTTTGCAATCTTTAAAAATCTTCCTCTTTACTCCTGGACATTAAGCAGGCAAACTGTTGGCATGAATGTAATGAGCATTGAGTCTCCTACCAAAATTTTGAAATTCATGGCCTCAGGGTCAGGGGTTCCAGTGCTAAGGTGGGGCTATATAAATTTTATAGTGAAAATGCATTATTTCTTTGAAAATCTTCTTCTCTGCTTCTGGGTATCAAATAAACTAACTAAGTACATAGTTATGATGAGCAAGAGTGCCTCTTCCAGAATTGTGAATTTTATGCCCCAGGGTCAGGGGTTCTGGTGTTAGGGTGGGGCTCCATTGATTATATAGTGAAAATGCATTTATTCTTTGAAAATCTTCTTCTCTGCTCCTGAGTATTAAATAAACTAACTAACTAGATAATTATGATGAGCAAGAGTACTTCTTCTAAAATTGTAAATTTTATGGCCCCAGGGTTAGGGGCTCTGGTGTTAGGGCAGGGCTCTGTTGATCATATAGTGAAAATGCATTAATTCTCTGAAAATCTTCTTCTCTGCTCCTGCATATTAAATAAACTAACCTAGTATATAGTTATAATGAGCAAGAGTGCTTCAACAAAATTTGTGAATTTCATGGCCCCTTTGTCAGGGGTTTTCCCATTTGGTGTAGGGGTGTGGGTGTCTTTTGATTACATAGTGAAAATACATTAATTGTTTGAAAATCTTTTCCTTTGCTCCTTGGTATTATGCCAATGATCCAAGTATATATACTTATGATGAAAAAAGGTTCATCTAGCAAAATGGTTAATTTCATGCCCTCTGGGTCAGGGGTATGGGGGGTTACATAGTCTGAAAATAAATTAATGCTTTGAAATCTGCTCTTTGGTACTAATCAATCATTTATGATGAAATAAAATTCATCATAAAATTTCCAAAACTTTTGCTTCATGGTCAGTGGTTCTTTGAGATGGGGTGCACCTCTGGTTATAAAGTGGAAGTGCATTTTTTCTTTGTTATTCTGATTTACTCTGGGTATTTTGTAACTATAGCAAGCAAGTTAAGTGTATAATTATGATAAGCAATGGTGCCTCTTTCAAGATTGTGAATTTCATGGCCTCTGGTTTAAAACACGAACCAAATTCAATTGTTGGAAAATTGTTACATGATACTCAGATGACCAATAAAGCCCACAGGCCTCTTGTTATATATGTATAGTGAAAAAATTATTTAATGCTTTGAAATCTGCTCCTTGGTATTATCAAACATTTAAGTGATGAACAAGAGTACCTTTCCAAAATTGTGAAATGTTTGAACCTAGGGTCAGGGGTTTTGTTGGGTGGTCACCACTGATTATTGCTGAATATTATTGATTTAATAGTTGAAATGCATTTTTTTGCTCCCTTACTCTGTCTATGGGTATTAAGAAGTAAGCATGCTTAGTGTATAATTAGTGTATAATTATGATGAACACTGGTGCTTCATTTAAAATTGTGATTTTTATGGTCTCTGCTTTAAAATATGAACCAATTGTAACCTCAATGGTATGAAAGTTGTTACATGATGCTCATGTGACCCATAAGGCCCATGGGCCTCTTGTTTTATCTGAAAATTGTCCATTAATTTTCAATTAAAATGCATGATATGTGTTTTTGTGCACATTTTCTAAAAAATAATTGGAGATATTCAATTAATTTTCCCTATATATAAATGATATAATATGATTAACTTTAAAGATGAAATTTGAAGAAATACTGTGGGTAAAAGCACATTATTTTGAGAATTCAGAGATATTTTTATGAGCAATGCCTGGTTTCAGAATCTGAGGATCAGACTTCCTTGTATTCTTGTTCTAGGTTTTTGCCATGATAAGAAAATTCCCCTTCCACATCCAAATTTAACAGTTTTACACATAATTCAGCTTTAATAAAAATAAATTGTATATAAATTGGCCATGCAAAGTTAATTACTTGGTTCTCAGGCCTTTTTTCAAGAAATATGATGAGGAAGGGAGGCATTTTTTTTTCTTTTTTATTGCCCCCAAAACATGATGAGGCAGCTTTTTACATTGCACAAAACCTCAAAAAATGATGAGGGAGGTGATTTGGTGTTTATATTTTATTGATTTAGCAATAAAAAGGGTCAATGAGGCACCCTTGGAAGAGATGAGGGAGGGCCTGAGAACCAAGAAATTAATTTTTTTTTGCCTAATGCAATATGTTTAAAGTGCATGTGTGCATTGTTTTCCTTTTCATTTCATCAGAATAATTATATCTGTTGTTTTTAAAAGCAAAACCTAGCTGGAAAATTCCACCAGTTGATACACGAGTCAGTGTGGGTGATTCAGCCTCTATAAATTGTGAAGCAGAAGGCATCCCTTCACCAAATGTGGAGTGGTTTATTGATGGAAAACCATTCAAAGGTAAGATCATTTTTTTTTAAATTATGGTGCAATAATCTTTGGCCTCAGTAAATTTTTAATTATGGCTATAAGGACTGATGTCATCACCCTCACTCCAGGCCAAAAAAGTTTACAATTAAGGCTACTCTAAATATGGTTATATGCAGTCAATTCCCGAAGTATCGATCCATCGCCATTCTTGCAATACTGCTTGATTTTGCAAGATTATTTTTCCTGCTATATTTAATTTTCCTTGTGATGCAAAATTTGCATATTGCCATTGGCCACCATGTTTTCACAAACTTCCACTTCAAAATGTCAATTGTCTTGATATACTGCCCGCTGCATTTCATTTCCGGAAATGCGCATAGCATTTCCGACATTTTTAGGTCACGTGAGTAAACTCAGGTGACCTATTGCAATCTGTTTTTGTCTGTCGTCATTCGTCATGCGTTAACATTTGAACATTTTTCAGCTTCTTCTCTGAAACTACTGAACCAATTTCAACCAATTTTGGCATATAGCATCTATGGGTGAAGGGGAACAAAAATTGTGAATTTCATGGTCCCTGCCCCCCTAGGGCCTGGGAGGTGGGGCCAAAACCACTAAAATTAGTGCAATCTTTAAAAATCTTCTTTACTCCTGGACATCAAGCAGTCTAACTGTTGGCATGATTGTTATCAGCATTGAGTCCTCTACCAAAATTGTGAAATTCATGGCCCCAGGGTCAGGGGGTCTAGTGCTAGGGCGGGGCTCTATTGAATATATAGTGAAAATGCATTATTTCTTTGAAAATCTTCTTCAGAATCTCTGCTCCTGGGTATCAAATAAACTAACTAAGTACATAGTTATGATGAGCTCCTGAGTATTACATAAACTAAGTACTTCGTTATGATGAGCGAGCGTGCCACTTCTAAAATTGTGAATTTTATGGACCCAGTGTCAGGGGTTCTGGTGTTAGGGCTTGGCTCTATATAGGATATAGTGAAAAATGCATTAATGAAAATCTTTTTCTTTGCTTCTGGGTGTTAATTGAAATAACTAAGTTCAAAATTATGATGAGTAAGAGTGCCTCTTTTAAAATTGTGAATTTTAGGGTGCCAGGGTCAGGGGTTCTGGTGTTAGGGTGGGGCTGTATTGATCATATAGTGAAAAATGCGTAATTCTTTGAAAGTTTTTTTCTGTGCTCCTAGGTATTAAATAAACTAACTATGTACATAGTTATGATGAGCAAGAATGTCTCTACTAAGATTATGAATTTCATGGCCCCAGGGTCAGGGGTTCTGGTGTTAGGGTGGGGCTCTTTAATGGTTATATAGTGAAAATACATTAATTCTTTGAAAATCTTCTCTGCTCCTGGGTAACAAGCAGATGAACTACCTATATAATTATGATTCTTCTTCCAGAATTGTGAATTTCCAGGCCCCTGGGTCAGGGATACCATCGGGGGGGGGGGCTCTATTTTATATACTGAAAATGAATTGTTTGAAATCTGATCCTTGGTATTAATCAAAAATTTTTCGAAAAGTAAGTGTGCCTTTTCAAAAATTGTGCAATGTGTGGACCTAGGGTAAGGGGGTTCATGGTTCATGTGTGGTAGGGGCACTTCTGATTATTGCTGAATATTACTGATTAGTTGATATGCATTTTTTGTTCCCCTACCCTGCCTATGGGTATTAAGGAGGCTAAATAACCAAACTAAGCAATTGCTAAGTTCATAGTTATAAGATAAGATTTATTAATACCAATTTGGGTCCCATCAGGGCATACAAGTAAAGATAAAACATACAAGAAGAAATTCAAGTTATGATTAGCAATGGTGCCAGCCTCTTTCAAGAGTGTGAATGTCAAAGCATCTACCTTAAAACATGAACCAAATTATATCAATTGAAAGTTGTTGCATTATTATCAGGTGACCTGTAAGGCCCATTTCTGACATTTTTAGGTCACCTGAGTAACTCAGGTGACCTATTGCTATCCGTTTTCGTCCGTCGTCGTGTGTCGTGTATCGTGCATCGTGTGTTAACATTTGAACATTTTCAGCTTCTTCTCTGAAACCACTGAACCAATTTCAACCAAATTTGGTATACAGCATCTCTGGGTGAAGGGGAACAAAAATTGTGAATTTTATGGTCCCTGCCCGCCTGGGGCCTGAGGGGTGGGGCCAAAACCACTAAAATTATTGCAATCTTTAAAAATCTTCTTCTTTACTCCTGGACATCAAGCAGGCAAACTGTTGGCATGAATGTAATGAGCATTGAGTCCTCTACCAAAATTGTGAAATTCATGGCCCCAGGGTCAGGGGGTGTAGTGCTAGGGCGGGGCTATATATATTATATAGTGAAAATGCATGATTTCTTTGAAAATCTTCTTCTTTGCTCCTGGGTATTATATAAACTAACCAAGGACATAGTTATGATGAGCAAGAGTGCCTCTACCAAAATTGTGAATTTTATGACCCCAGGGTCAGGGGTTCTGGTGTTAGGGCGGGGCTCTATTGGTTATGTAGTGAAAATGCATGATTTCTTTGAAAATCTTCTTCTCTACTTCTGGGTATTAAAAAAACTAACTAAGTACATAGTTATGATGAGCAAGAGTGCCTTTTTCAAAATTGTGAATTTTGTGGCCCCAGGGTCAGGGGTTCTAGCGTTAGGGCGGGGCCCTATTGATTATATAGTGAAAATGCATTAATTCTTTGAAAATCTTCTTCTCTGCTCCTGGGTATTAAATAAACTATGTCAGTAAATAGTTATGTTGATCAAGAGTGCCTCTTCCAAAATTGTGAATTTATGGCCCCAGGGTCAGGGGTTCTGGTGTTAGGGCGGGGCTCTATTGATCATATTGTGAAAATGCATTAATTCTTTGAAAATTTTCTTCTCTGCTTCTGGGTATTAAATAAACTATGTTAGTAAATAGTTATGTTGATCAAGAGTGCCTCTTCCAAAATTGTGAATTTTATGGCCCCAGGGCAGGGGTTCTTGTGTTAGGGCGGGGCTCTATTGATCATATAGTGAAAATGCATTAATTCTTTTAAAATCTTCTTCTCTGCTCCTGAGTATTAAATAAACTTAGTACATAGTTATGATAAGGAAGAGTGCCTCTTCCAAAATTGTGAATTTTATGGCCCCAGGGTCATGGGTTCTGGCGTTAGCTCTATTGATTACCAGGTATATAGTGAAAATACATTAATTCTTTGAAAATCTTTCCTTTGCTCCTGGGTTTTATGCCAATGATCCAAGTATATATATTTATGATGAAAAAAGGTGCATCTAGCAAAATTAATGGTTATTTTTTATGCCCCCCCCCCCTGTGTCGGGGGTGGGGGGGTACAAAGTCTGAAAATAAATTAATGCTTTGAAATCTGCTCTTTGGTATTAATCAACCATTTTATGATAAAAGAACTTTATTCGGTAATAACCAATATTTGCCCCCCAAATCAAACTTTGATGGAGATATATCTAATTAAGTTCTTAAACAGGAGAGTATATGCTGACTTCAAAGCACTGAATATTTTCATAAGTAATGATGCCATATGTACGTAATGACATCACAAACATGACGTAAAATTAAGTTTTTTATGAATTTTACAGAAAAATGTACATATTTCGTCGATATTTTGAGTAAAAGTCACCGAGCGCATGTGTGTTCAGGATCAATAATTTGATATAATGTGTAGAATGATAATATCAATGAAATATATCAATATTGTTCCTGAACAAACTTGCGCTCTATAAATTTTAAAGCTAAAATTGTTGAAATTTTGTGCATTTTGTCATCTTTCTGAAAAAGGATATAAAATCGGACTAGTTTGTGACGTCATAAAAACAAAAATTGTGCATACACTGCTTTGACACTATAATAGTTTCTGTTAATTTATATTTCTCATACAATTTATTGAATTCGGCACATTTCAGGAAGTTTTCAAAATTTGACTTTTGTGGGGGCAAATATATGCAATATACCGCATATAGTTCTTTGCAAAATTTTGAAATATGTGGCCCCAGGATCAGTGGTTCCTTTGGGCTCATATGAGGTGCACAACTGGTTATAAAGTGGAATAGCATTTTCTCTTAATGTTAGTCTGATCTACCTCTGGGTATTAAGTAAATAGAGTAAGCATGCTAAGTCTATAAATATGATAAGCAATGGTGCCTCTTTCAAAATTGTGAATTGTGAATTTCGTGGCCTCTGGTTTAAAACACGAACCAAATTTAATTGTTTGAAAGTTGTTGCACAATACTCAGGTGACCTATAAGGCCCGTGGGCCTCTTGTTTGTTTTCATTTCTGAAATAATTTTGTTTTGATTTCCGGAATTTACCTGTGCAGCAATTCAATGTTTTCTAAGTAAGTAAAAATGGAATTTTAAAAGTATTTATTAAAAAATTTTGATAAAAATTGAAAAAAAAACATCTACACATACAGGTAGCACAAGTCTAGGTAAAAAAGTTCAATGACAATGAGCATAAAACTTTTCACCACATTTAATGTGCACTAAATTAAATGTCAGTGACAGCACAGCACCACATTTATTTCCAAGTCATTGATAGATTTACAAGACTCAGATATTGGATTTCAATGATTTATTCATGATTTTTTTTCTTTAAATTTTTCAGAAGTATAGTCTTCATATCTGTTACAACAAGTATTACATATGTATTTGAAAAATGTCGAAAATGAAAACATAAAAATTTCGGAAATGAAAAATAAAAAATGTCGGAAATGAAAAGTTGATAATTACAAAAAAATCTGGAAATAAAATGCAGCCATACTGCCGCAGCTGCATGTGATAAGTGAAGTGGATAATTGGTTGAGTCACTATCACTGTTGTAAAGCATGTGAAGCCAGTCAAGGTACATGCAATTAAATAAGAATCAAATAAACAATAATTTTAACATGAATTGTTATTATAATTTTGTTTTCTGTTTAATAAAAAATGATTAAGTCAAGCTTTTAAGGCCCCACCACAAAAGGGGTCGTTGTTAAAGTATGCCGATAACAATATTATTTTGGATGATATCTGCAGTTGCTTTAAAAAACTCAAAGTTTGCTTTAAAAAAAGTGTTGTCAAATTGACTTTTCGTGAAGTAAATATAGTGTTGAAAAGAATGATAAATTAAACTTCAGTATTTAGCTCACCAGAGCTAAAGGCTCAAGTGAGATATTGTGATCAAAATTTGTCTGTTGTCGTCGTTGTTGTTGTCATCATCGTAAACTTTTCAAATTTTCATCTTCTCAAGAACCACTGGGCCAATTTCAATCAAACTTGCCACAAAGTGTCCTTGGGTAAAGGGGATTCAAGTATGTTTACATAAAGGGCCATGCCTTCTTCAAAGGGGAGATAATTATGAATTAGTGAAAAATTGACAGCATGTTTTAAAAATCTTCTTCTCAAGAACCACTGGGCCAGGAAAGATGAAACTCATATGGAATCATCTTCAGGTAGTGTAGATTCAAGTTTGTTCAAATCATGACTCCCCGGGGTAGGGTGGGGCCAAAATGGCTGATCAAAGTTTAACATAGGTATATATAGGAAAAATCTTTAAAAATCTTCTTCTCAAGTGCAATTGAGACAGGAAAGATGAAACTCTTGTGAAATCAGGTAGTGTAGATTCAAGTTTGTTCAAATAATGACCCCCGGGGGTAGGGTGGGGCTAAAATAGCTGATCAAAGTTTTACATAGGAATATATAGGGTTTTTTTTTTAAAAAATCTTCTTTTCAAGTACTTCAAAGCCATGACTAGTGATATTTATATGGAATCATCCTCAGTTAGTGTAGATTTTAGTTTGTTCAAATCATAACCCCCAGGGATAAGGTGGGGCCACAATGGGGGATCCAAGTTTTACATTAAAATATATTTAAAGCATAGCTAATCAGAGATTACAGAGCTCACCTCAACAAATGTTGTCTTTAAGTAAGGCAAAGTCACACAATCAACCAACAGAAAGTGTGCATCTAAAAATGCAAAATTTATGCAATTTTGATTTGATACTTTGGAATAGACCTATATAAAAACTTCAAACTAGTTCTTCATCATTAAAACGTAATTAAAATCCAGCATCTGAAGCAAGATTGAGAGTTTTCATCCCTTGATGCATCATTTATGCAAGTTTGGTTTATATAAGCCTTACAGTTTCTTGGTAATAGACAAGCACCTATAACTTTTACGAGGTCCATTATCTGGAAAATGTATGTCGAATTCAGCATCTGAAGCAAGTCCATTAGTGTGCATCCTAAGATGTATCATCCATGCAAGTTTGCTCAACATAGAGCTCAAAGTTACTTGGAAATGAAACCTGCATAAAAAAATAACCTTTTCACTAATCCAGAAAATGATGGTCAGATTCAGCATCCGAAGCCAGCCTAGTAGAATGCACCCTTAGATGTCCCATACATGCAAGTTTGGTCATTATAGGGCTCAAAGTTACTTGGAAATGAATCCTGCACCAAAAACTTTAACCTGTTCACTCGTCCATAAAATGTAAGTCAGATTAAGCATCCGAAGCAAGTCTGGTAGTATGCATCCTAAGATATATCATCCATGCAAGTTTAGTCGTTATAGGGCTCATAGTACCTTTGAAATGAAACCTGCACCAAAAACTTTAACCTGTTCAATCAACCGGAAAATGTAGGACATATTCAGCATCTGAGGCAAGTCTGGTAGTATGCATCCTAAGATGTACCATCCATGCAGGTTTGGTCATTATATGACTCATAGTAGCTTGGAAATGAAACCTGCTCCAAAAACTTTAACCTGTTCACTCAACCGAAAAATACAGGTCAGATTCAGGATCCGAAACAAGTTTAGTACTATGCATCTTAAGATGTACCATCCATGCAAGTTTAGTCATTATAGGGCTCATAGTATCTTTGAAATGAAACCTGCACCGAAAACTTTAACCTGTTCAATCAACTGGAAAATGTAGGTCAGATTCAGCATCGGAAGCAAGCCTGGTAGTATGCATCCTAAGATGTACCATCCGTGCAAGTTTGGTCAACATAGGGCTTATAGTTACTCGGATATGAGACCTACACTTTTCAAAAACTGAACCAAAAATGTTAACCTGCTCCAAAACCATTAACCTGGTCATTCCTTTGCTGAAATTGCAGCATCTGAAACTTTGACTGGTACAATGAAACACACTAGAAACAGCTTCCCTGCATGTCTTATCAATATAGGACAGTCCTTAAACAGAAAACTGCTCCAAAAAGCTTAGCCTTAACCCGGGATGCCGACGCTGACGCCGAGGGTATTACATAAGCTCCCCCAACTTCGTTGAGGTGAGCTAAAAATCTTCTACTCAGAATAGCAAAGCCATGATTAGTGATATTAGTATTTATATGGAAGCATTCTCAGGTAGTGTAGAATTAAATTTGTTCAAATCATAACCCCAAAGGTAGGATGGGGCCACATTGATGGATCAAAGTTTTACACAGAAAAAAAAATGAGGAGTAAAACCCCAAGAACAGAAAAGCTTTGTGTTGAAGATTTTAATTTGTTCAAATCATGGCCTTTTGGGATAGGGAGGGAAACAATAGGTAATCAAATTCAAATTTTTATGAAGTAATATATTGGAACAAAATGTTTAAAAAGAAATCTTTTTATCAAGAACAGCAAAGTCATATGCAGTATTGATATGAAGGCATTCTCAAATACTGTAAACCAACTTTTATTCGCGTGCGAGAAATTTTCGCGAAGTTCGCGAGAGCCTCGTCATCGCGAATATTTCTTGCCGCGAACCGGTTCTTAAAGCCCATGTGTCTATCAAAAGGAAACCTAAATATGCTTTTTATCGCGAAAATTAATCGTCGCAAACTGGTTTACCCTCGTCAGATCGCAAAATAAAGTCGTCGCGAATAAAGGTTGGTTTACAGTAGTATTAAAATTCAAGCCCCCCCCCCTTCCACCTCAGTAAACTTTCAGTTCTGATCTGACGTGCTTTTTCCTAGCCGATGTGCTCAGGTGAGTGATGTGGCCCCTGGGCCTCTTGTTAACTTTGTTATGTCCTTGCAATATTGGAATTTATATAATGTGAAGTCTAAATTAAAAAAATTACCTGTCTTTAACATGTAGATTTGAACCAATATTTATTAACTTTTTCTGATATCAGTACATTCCGAAAGAGAATCGCACATTCTTGTAAAAAGCCAAGTTGTGTGTCACCTGAGTCACTCAGGTGACCTATTGCTATTTGTTTTCGTCCGTCGTTGTCCGTGGTACGTCGTTCATTGTTCATCGTCAATCGGTCGTAAACTTTTGAACATTTTCAGCTTCTTCTCTGCAACCACTGAACCAATTTCAACCAAATTTGGCACAAAACATCTATGGGTGAAGGGGAACAAAAATTTTGAATTTCATGATCCCTGCCCCCCTGGGGCCTGGGGGGTGGGGCCAAAACCACTTAAATTATTGCAATCTTTTAAAATCTTCTTCTTTACTCCTGGACATCAAGCAGTCAAACTGTTTGCATGATTGTAATCAGCATTGAGTCCTCTACCAAAATTATGAAATTCATGGCCCTGGGGTCAGGGGTTCTTGTGCTAGGGCGGGGCAAAATAAGTATATAGTGAAAATGCATTATTTCCTTAAAAATCTTCTTCTCTGCTCCTGGGTATTAAATAAACAAACTAAGTACATAGTTATGATGAGCAAGAGTGCCTCTACCTAAATTGTTAATTTTATGGCCCCAGGGTCAGGGGTTCTGGTGTTAGGGTGGGGCTCTTTTGTATATATTGTAAAAATACACGAATTCTTTGAAAGTCTTCTTCTCTGCTCCTAGGTATTAAATAAATTAACTAAGTGCATAGTTATGATGAGCAAGAGTGCCTCTACCAAAATTGTGAATTTTATGGCCCCAGGGTCAGGGGTTATGGTTTTTTGGGGGGGGCTCTATTGATTATATAGTGAAAATGCATTATTTCTTTGAAAATCTTCTTCTCTGCTCCTGGGTATTATAAAAACTAACTAAGTACATAGATATGATTAGCAAGAGTGCCTCTACTAAAATTGTGAATTTTATGGCCCCAGGGTCAGGGGTTCTGGTGTTAGGGTGGGGCTCTATTGATTATATAGTGAAAAAAACATTAAATCTTTGAATATTTTCTTCACTGCTCCTGGGTATTAAGCATATGAACTAACTATATAGTTATGAGCAAAGGCCCTAATCTTCCAGAATTGTGAATTTCAAGGCCCCAGGGTCAGTAGTACCATAGGGGGGGAGTTGTACTTATATACTGAAAAATAATGATTTGTTTGAAATCTGCACCTTGGTATTAATCAAATACTTTTGAAAAGCAAGGATGCCTTTTCAAAATTGTGCAATATGTGGATCTAGGCCTAAGAGTCAAGGGTTCATATGTGGTAGTGGCACTACTGATTATTGCTGAATATTACTGATTTGTTGAAATGCATTTTTTGTTCCCCTACCCTGCCTATGGGTATTAAGTAACCAAACTAAGCAACTGCTAAGTGTATAGTTATGATGATCAAAATTGTAAATGCTATAGCATCTGGCTTAAAACATGGATTAAATTCAATCACTGGAAAGTTGATGCATAATGCTCAGGTGACCTATAAGGCCCTTGGGCCTCTTGATTTTGTCATGTTTATATTATTCATAATGTTTTTTTTTCTTTCATTATTAGAAATTCCTGGCAAACGACAGCTTCAAGGGGATATTCTACAAGTCACTAGCCTCACTAAAAAGGAGTCTATGGTTGTTCAGTGCAATGCCACCAATTCTCATGGATCTTTGTTTTCCGATGTTTATATCAATGTTTTAGGTAGGAATTTTTAGGTCACCTAAATCATCTAGATAATCTAATACTATCTGTTATTGGCCCCCCGCTTTCACAGAAGAAAGGGGGCATTAAATTTTATTCCTCTTCATTCTGTATTGAAATCTGCCATTCTATCCATCTGTCAAAAAAACTTTAACCTTGGTAATATCTTTTGAATGAGTATACTAGATAGAAGTTTCATATTATATATGTGTTTTACCTGTGACAAGACCTTTCTAAATACACTATGATTTTTTACCTCTTGACCTTGACTTTAAAGTGATGATCTACATTTTTTGAATGATGCCTAAAAGTTTCAGTGAAATATCTCTATAAATAAAATGTAAGCGAATCGATCAAATCAGCTGTCGGCGCAACACTGATGACGTCAAAATGTATCTCTTAGTGTTTACTAATTTGTTTTGAAAACTGTGCCTCTAGAAATATTCATTTTTAAGCACACAGTCGGCAATATATTTAATTTTGTTTTAGTTACCAAGTTATACATCTCAAATACTAGTGTTACTAAAAGATTGGGGAGTTAATTCTTTCAGAAGACAATTTCACATTTGTGATCATGAACCTACCTGATTGAATTATTTAACAGCGGTCTTCACATAGGCCTATGACGTTCCCCCTCTTGTCTTTTCAGTTCGTCTTTATTTATGTGATCTATTCTAGTGTTCTCTTATATCGGATAACCAGCCAAGTCAACCTCTTCTACTAGATATAAACCTTTATTACATTTTTAAGAGTGAAATATTGAATAAAAGTGATATCCTGTAACAGTGTGAAAGGATATCAAAATAATATCCTGTCACAGTTTGACAAATATCAGAACTGGGTAAAACTCGAGATTTTCCTTCCCTTCACCAAGAGTGTTGTAAAATATGCCCCTTGCCCTGTTATAAGATAGAAAACGAGTTAATAAACCATTCTGTCATAAAATAAAACTGGAAAAGTTCCCAAAATATGCTGCTGAAATTCATGTTTACAATGGTTTTTCACTTAGCTATGACGTGTCAACCGCTCAGCTATGATGTCATGTAGCCTCAGACTGCATTATAAAAAGACGTAAATAAAGGGAAAATCAAAGAAAATGTAATAATCAGAAAATTCAATGTTTTGTAATTGAATATGGAATTTATTTCACTCGTTATATGACGTCAAAACGTATCTCGTAGTGTTTACTTATTTGTTTTGAAAACTGTGCCTCTAGAAATATTCATTTTTAAGCACACAGTCGGCAATGTATTTAATTTTGTTTCAGTTACCAAGTTATACATCTCAAATACTAGTGTTACTAAAAGATTGGGGAGTTAATTCTTTCAAAAGACAATTTCACATTTGTGATCATGAACCTACCTGATCGAATTATTTAACAGTGTCTTCACATAGGCCTATGACGTTCCCGCTATCCTGTAACAGTGTGAAAGGATATCAAAATAATATCCTGTCACAGTTTGACAAATATCAGAACTGGGTAAAACTCTCGATTTTCCTTCCCTTCACCAAGAGTGTTGTAAAATATGCCCCTTGCCCTGTTATAAGATAGAAAACAAGTTATTAAACCATTCTGTCATAAAATAAAACAGCCAAAGTTCCCAAAATATGCTGCTGAAATTCATGTTTACAATGGTTTTTCACTTAGCTATGACGTGTCAACCGCTCAGCTATGATGTCATATAGCCTCAGACTGCATTATAAAAAGACGTAAATAAAGGGAAAATCAAAGAAAATGTAATAATCAGAAAATTCAATGTTTTGTAATTGAATATGGAATTTATTTCACTCGTGAGACATGATTTTTTTATATTTTCACCGTGCTTCGCACTCGTGAAAGTATCAAAAAATCCTGTCCCACTCGTGAAATAAATTCCATATTCAACTACAAAACATTGGATATCCTGTATGTTTCCCATAGTTATGTTTGTGTTTTTAGCTCACCCGAGTGGAAGGCTCAAGTGAGCTTAGCAATAGGGAATCAAAGTTTTACATAGATGTATGTAGGAAAAATCTTTAAAAATCTTCTCAAGAACAACTGGGCCAGAAAAGCTGAAACTTATGTGGAAGCATCCTGGGGTAGTGTAAATTCTAAATTGTTCAAATCATGACCCTCGGGGGTTGGGCGGGGCCGCAAAAGGGAATCAAAGATTTACATAACAAGAGGCCCAAGGGCCTTGAATCGCTCTTCTGATAAATTGTACAATCTATCACTTCTATTTGAAGCCTCTAACCTTAAGTATCCTAAGACCCAAGTTGCATCAACTGACAAAGTTTGATGATTCTTAGCCAATAATGACTGAAAATATTTTTAATAATGAAGCTATAAAAAACCATGAGTACATCACAGTGATACAGCAAAACTCGTTTAGTACGAACACGGATATTGCGAATTTACGGATATATCGAAGTTATTTTGGATCCCCAGCTATATAAATTTAATGAACTTCTTATACGGTTATAACGAATTACGGATATAGCGAAGTAATTTCTTAGGTCCCTGTGACTTCATTATAACCGAGTTTTGCTGTATTAAGATTGAAGTTTTCTGAGGACTCAAGATGCATTAATAAACAAAGATTGAAGATTCTAAGCCAATAAGTACTGTAAATGTATTATATTTAGCGCGTACGATATTTGGCGGAAATTGGATTTTGAACAAGTTAGCGTGGATTCGATTCAGCACATATCTTAATGTTCTTCTTAATAGATATATGAGCGAGACATTTAGCGTCGTACTTGAATTAGCGGATATTGCTTTCTGCCAAAAACGCTAAAAAGAATACACAGCCAAATGTAATACGTTTACAGTATTTGAGATATTCAAAAGTAGGTCACCGTGACCTACTTTTTTGTCTACATTCTTTAAAAACCCAAGATACATCAACTGACAAAGTTTGATGATTCTAAGCCAAAAAGTACTTGAGATATTCAAAAGTAGGTCACCATGACCTACTTTTTGATCGATATTCTCTAAAAACTAAAGATGCATCAACAAACAAAGTTTAGTGATTCTAAACCAGTTAGTACCATAGATACTTAAATAAAGCCATAAAATGTCGAAAGTAGGTCACAGTGACCTACTTTTTTGACATCATTCTCCGAAAACCCAAGATATATCAACTTACAAAATTTGATGATTCTAAGCCAATAAATACTGTAGATACTTAAATAAAGCCATAAAATGTCAAAAGTAGGTCACCGTGACCTACTTTTTGGTCATCACTCTCCGAAAACGCAAGACGCATCAACTCACAAAGTTTGATGATTCTAAGCCAATAAATACCTAAGATACTAAAATATAGCCATAAAAAGTCGAAAGTAGGTCACAGTGACCTACTTTTTGAACAACATTCTCTGAAAACCCAAGATGCATCAACTTTCAAAGTTTGATGATTCTAAGCCAAATAAATACCATAATTACTTAAATAAAGCCCTAAAATGTCAAAAGTAGGTCACCATGACCTACTTTCTGTTTGTTACTCTCCGAAAACCCAAGATGCATCAACTCACAAAGTTTGATGATTCTAAGCCAATAACTAGAACTGTCCAAACGGGACAAATACCCCCCGCTGGGTTTTTCAGAGGTAAGTTTTTCCATAATAAAGATATGTATCACACATGAATTATGAAATTTTTCTTCCAGTGACCTTGAAGTTCCCCAAATGACCTTGGGTCAAGGTCATGACACACCTTTGGGTCATGGGCAATCTTTGTCTGAAATGAGAACCTACCAAGTTTATCCATAAGAAAGATATGGACCAGACACAAATTATGAATTTTACTTCCAGTGACCTTGAACTTCTCCAAATGACCTTGGGTCAAGGTAATGACACACCCTAAGGTCAAGGGCAATCTTTGTGTGAAATGAGAAACTACCAAATTTATCCATAGAAAAGATATGGACTGGACACAAATTATGAACTTTTTCTTCCAGTGACCTTGAACTTCCCCAAATGACCTTGGGTCAAGGTCTTGACACACCCTTAGGTCATGGGCAATATTTGTGTGAAATGAGAACCTACCAAGTTTATCCATAAGAAAGATATGGACTGGACACAAATTATGTCTTTTTTTTTCCAGTGACCTTACTTCCCCAAATGACCTTGGGTCAAGGTCATGACACACCCTTAGGTCATGAGCAATCTTTGTGTGGAGTAGTAGATTCTAATGTCCCTCCGTAAGAAAGATATGGACCGGACACGTTTGCACAGACAGACGGACAGACAGACGGACAGACGGACAAGGTGATTCCTATATACCCCCCCAAACTTCGTTTGCGGGGGTATAAATACCTAAGATACTAAAATATAGCCATAAGATGTTGAAACTAGGTCATCGTGACCTATATTTTGGTCGACATTTTTCAAAGTCACAAGATGCATCTGCTGACCAAGTTTGATGATCCTAGGTCTGAAGGTAATCAAAATATGCCTTTTAAACAATTCGAAAACAAATGCCTGCAAAATTCAAAAAGTAGGTCACAGTGACCTACTTTTTCATAAATATGTTTTAAGGTCTCAAGATGCATCAATTGACAAGATTTGATGATTAAAATAAAATAAAAGAGAGTGAGAGAGAGTAATGTGTAATATTTCTAAGACATGCAAGTGGTGCTAAACCTGTCAGTGTCTGAAATAATTGGATTAAATGTTTTAAGAAGAATTCGTCATAAAGTTCAAAAAGTAGGTCACGGTGACCTACTTTTAAGCTGACGTTGTTCAAGGACCCAAAATGCATCAGCTGACAAAGTTTGATGATCATAGGCCTTAAAGTGCCCGAAATATGCCTTCAAATCAATTTGAAAACAAATGCCCACAAAATTTAAAAAGTAGGTCACCATGACCTACTTTTGAGTTAACATGATGTGAAATCCTGAGATGCATCAACTTACAAGACTTGGTGATCCTAGTCCTAATAGTAAGCAAAAGATAAACGTTTTTATTATTTGTAAATTTAGGTCAACTTTGAAGTGACCTTGAGACCATGCCCTTTGCCCGAGGGTCATGCCTTGAACAATTTTTAATCTTCAA